AACTTCATAAATCTAATATAACTACCTCCTAAATACTATATGCAGTTCTTTTCATCTAATCTTAACAATAGCTAAATAAAGTAGAAGAGCGCAGAGTAGTACAGCAACAATGATTAGAAGTATCAAGTAGTTTCTATATGAAGTAATAAGGAATAGATAAGAACTTAACTGTTAGGAAAAGCTTAAGACTGGGAAGAGTAGAAGACTATAGGTATCAGGCACAGTGTAAAGAAGGTGATTAGGACTGATTATTCACTCTTGCAAGATGAGGTATGGGGCACCTCAAAATGTGAGGCAGGACATTGAAAAGAAGGTATGATCTTTTCACAAAATGCAGAATTAAATCATGAAACTTGGTGCTATAATTTCTTGTGCAGTCCAAATAACAAGGTAACAAGAAGGACAATATCCCTTTCTGTTTAGGTTTTGCTCATAATTGTGTCACATTCCCTTAGCAACTGACTTGAGTCAGGCGGAACTCCTTGTGTGAGCGCTGGGCAGGGAGGAGCCTCTCCGGGGCCCTGTGCGTTCCCCAGTGGGAGCTGCAGCTCATGGAGAGCTGCAGGGAGCAGCCAGCCCAGGCCTCAGGAGCAGCAGAAAGAGTTCCCAGGGAGCAGAGGGAAATCTGCAAAGTCTTTGGCAAGTCAAAGTGCTATCAGATAATGCTATGAACTGTAAAAGTAGAGATCCGCCCTGTGAGAACAAAGGGCTTGGAAGAATTAGTTGTAAATCTAGGTCATTTCCATTACATCTCATCTAATTCTTTTGAGTATATATATATTTGTGTGTGTGTGTATGGGTGTGCATTTAAGCAGTTAGGTACTGCAGTTTTTATTGTAATGAAATCTGCTTCTTTAATTTTGGAACTTGGAGAGAAGATCTAGGCACAGACACCTTGAAGTTCTTGTGACTCAAGATTAATCCTATCAGAGGGTTAACAATAGATGGTTGGTCCCACCAATAAGCCACATTAAGTACAGTGGTTCAGAAGCTTGGAAGTTTCCCAGATCCCCAGTTTGGAAAGTCCTCAAACTACTGGTCTCCTTGTTAAACTACTGGTACCATATCTGCCACAGTCTGACACATCTTATCACCTATCTGCACCTCCACTATTGCAACTGCAAAACCCTCCTGGGAGCTTGGCGATAGCTTATCCCAGAGGAGGATAACTTCTTAGCTACCCTAAACCCACACTTTGTTAGCAAGAGCTTGCCAGCTGGCCAGAGGAAAGTGTAGAATTGCCAGGGATTTTCTACCTTATACATCTAGTCTTCAGGGTTATCTGTTTAGATTCTCTTTTAGTGCTTCAAATAACTCAGCTGTTGTCTTTAACCTAGAAAGCATGAGATTGAATATATTTTAAATAATATTTTTTAATCTTCATTAGCAAAGTGAATCCAAGTAGTCACAGTTTTCCAGAAGACAACATCTATGTTTGCATTAATATAGAAGATGACTTTTCTTGAATGATTTCTTTGTTCTATATCATTGTAAGATCAATCTTGATTTTGGGCTGCTCAGAAAAATAGGAAGTGCTGCAATTATGTCAGCATCACTATTATAGATAACTAGGATGTTATTAAAACACAATAATATTTACATTGCA